TATGTATATAGGTCATAAAAATAAAAGTAAATATATAAGGAAAAAAGCGTTGAACCTAAACAATTTTGCAAACTATGCCAGGATTGATAGAACTACTTTAACACCGATCTATGTTTTACTGATCAGTAACAACTCCAAATCTGACMTCCACTGGTACACATGGTTCTAATCTTGGCCTGCCAAGGGCCATAATCTCCCTGGTCCTTCGTCAAAGATCCCACAAACCATGCTTTTATACACACGTACCTGTGCTCACATAGACCCACATTTTGCCAAACCCCCAAAAGCTACATGTGTGTCTCCCCTTGGTCGGGCTAAATTAATAAAATCAAGATGTTGCCGTTGACAGGCCGGTCAACATGTGGTAGTATACCTCAGATCAGCCCTCAACAGCAGACCCCTTACAAACCCTGACTAAACCCTCCCTCCTGTCAAACACGCTTTGGGAAGTGGCTCCTTTTATTTGGGCAGCTATCCTTGTTACACAGGGGTCATTACATGGCTAGGTGAGCTACACTGTGGATTTGATGGGCGAGCTCATCACATGGGGTCATGAAAGGACAGTCAGTTGAGAATGTGTGTTGGGATAAGGAGGCCACATGGATGGTCCGATGATGGTAATGTAAACTGAGGTAGCCTAGCCRACTAGCGCTCCCTAACACAGATGTAATTTCAGTTCAGCACACAGTTGATTTGAGAAGCTTCCTCATCAGAGGGGGGTCTTTGCAATTAACAGGGGCTGCGGGTTTTAAAAAAATCTAAACTTAATCATGAAGTAACCTCTCTTTAAACAATCAGTAGGGTGGTCAGCATGAATGTGAGTAAAATCTCAAGGTAAAACATTTAAACTGGAGCTACTACCTTGCTCTGACTGTACTGTCCATACTGGTAGGTGGGGTGATGGTCGACGGCGTAGGCTGGGGAAGTGTAGGAAGGTGGGCAGTAAGACTGAGTGCTGGGTAGGGCAGGCATGCTGGTCAGGCTTGGAAGAGCCTCCAGTCGCTGAGAACCGTGGCAGCTAGCAGCCATTGCTCCATTAGGCTCAATGCCTCCGGTGAGCGGAGAGAGGGCAAAGTCACTCTGAGACTGATGTGGGACTCCGCTTGGGTTCAACAGGCCCATCACCTGAAGGTAGACACAAAAACCTGGTTCATTATAACAAATCAAACATTATCTGATAACAGCCAATGTGCATTTGATCTCATTTCTTTGGGTTATTTTTTTAATCTAATCACTGGATTAGTACATGTTCTCATTCAGCTTAACAAATCAAGGTTGTGATATTAGTTTAAAAAAAACATCGATTATCCCACTATCAGTGTCTGGAAACGATTTCTCTTTTGACTTTTCGAAATAGACCAAAGAATGTTTGTAATATATTATGTTTCCTTGTCAAAGCAGTTCAGGTTTTGAGCAGAACCAGTCTAAAAATAGTCAGTCCTATGGTACAATGTGAAATGAATTTGCATTTGTGAGGAAAAACATCTTTTTACGTAAAGTCTTCATTAAAGACCCCAAAGAGCAATGAGTGTGTGTTTGCTACCTGAGTTAGATTGGTGTCTCTAACAGTAGGTGAATATTTTTTTATGTGTAGCAAGTTTTTTTTCTTTCTGGTGTTAAGGCTGAGGGGGGTATCAGTGACACATCATGAACAGCTGCACAAGGGTCTGCGTGACAAGCAAAGTCATGAAAATGTCTTAAATAAGCGCAGTGAAAGAGAGAAGAATTACAGCCTGTGTTGATGAAAAACGAGCTTAAGTCAAGAACAAAACCAAATAGCCTCTAACCAAAGAGGTGAAGATTAATTAATACTAGGTGATACGACACTAAGGGCTTTCCCAGCTGACTGTCAGTTGGCTCCGAGATGTACACAAACTAAGGTAAGTTGTAACTGCATTTTTTTTCTGAATACATATTTTCCTTCCAGACAAACAATGCAACATATCAAACCCAAAAAATCAACTTCTATCTTGATGGTGATAACTTGAGTAGGTGCAATAATACACAGGCCTTGTATACTCATGGTATTTTAATGTGTAGCTATTATTAGAAATATATATATATATATACATCTTTTTTTTCTTACAGGTGGCATAAGTTACTTTAAAACTGTAACTGTCTTTGTAACAACAAAGAATGAAAAATAATGGCAGCACTTTATTATAAATACACATTATTTAGTCATACTTAATCAATAAGAAATGGTTAGTTAACCTTGAAAGCATCATTAATTAGGAATGATTCATATTGAAAAAGCTATAAATTAACACATTTATCAATGCTTTACCTATAAAGTTACCAACATATTCATTGCTTATTCATTATCGATAACTCGTAAATCAACTATTCTGTATACAGTGTGTATACTGTATGCTTACATAAATGTGCTTTCACACCATGTGAGATATGTATTAATGGTTAGAAAACATTTGAAATCTACTAATCCTGCATCACATCAATTATTAAAGGCAGATAGTTGTTTTGTGAACCCTTCTTAAGTAAAGACTATGCTTTTTCAAGTATTTGTTAATGTAGATAAAACCCTGAAGGCCCACAAGTTCCTTTTCACCTGTGGAAATTGGACCAAAATCATGGTCATTTCAAACCATCTCTAAGCATTAATACATGTCTAAGACATGGTTTGAAAGTACATTTATTTGAGCATTTACACAGTCTACAGAATAGCTGATTCATGAGTTATTAAGCATTAATGAACAATAAGTATGTTGGTTTTGGAAGTAATTAGCCTTCATGGGTAAAGCATTAACAAACGTGTTAATTTATAGCTTATAAAGTATGAATTATCTTTCAGTAATGATCTTTTCAAAGTAGCGAACCATTTATTAATGATCAATTAATGCTAAATAATGTGTAGTTATCATAAAGGTTTTTCCAAAATAATGATTTTTTATATGAAACAATATTCTGAACTACAGTTTATGCAAAAAAAAGTTTTGTTTGTATTGATATTTTCTCAAGCACTAACACTGAGTGCAGTACGTGTGCATGAAAGTGTACAAACAGTTTGTGTGGCATATACCTACAAGCTTGCAAAAAAAATAGGTGTATGATCTACACGATAGGGTACTATTTCTCAGCAACTGAAACAGCAGCAGTTCCTGATAGTGTGTCTGTTTTGAGGTTGTTCCGGAGATTAGGTCCCAGGGGGGTGCAAATCCTGGCCGCCTGCTTCCTTGGTGAGAAAGGATTGCTTTGGTATGCGCCAGATCAGTGCTGAGAGGCCAGAGATGGAGAAAGCCATCGGCCTGGCTGCTGCAGAGCTCACCGCTCCAGTGAGAATATTGCTGATCTAAAGCAAAACGTATCCATAACGAGACTCCGTGACCATATCTGGAGTCAGTGGAATCCTCTGATGTATACGGAGCAGTAAGTAGGGTAGAGTTGCATTTATGGACAAATTTGGAGTCCAGATAACACAAGGGGCATCACTCTTGCTAGGGCCTCGAAGAAAATCCACCACGGCGATCCGACAAAACCGAAGCTGTAAACTTTTCCAAGTGCAAAGAAATCCCCAAGTATCAATGTCATAGAATTTAATCACTTCTCATTTCCTCTCCCTTATTAAGTTAAAATTAATTGTCTCATCATGTGATAGAGAGAAAACTGCACTGCAATAAACATTCGAATTGCTGCAATGAATACACGAATTAAAACAAATTAGCCAACAAAGTGATTCATTTGCATATATTACACACTCTGTTAGGAGGGGATAGATTACTTCATTTCAATCAATTAAGACACTGGAACACTCAGTGATTACATTCCCAGACGGAGAGAGCCTTCGAGGCATGCCGTCCGATCTGTGAGATGAGATTCTATAGAAGCCGACCACAAAAGGTTAATGGCGAAACCATCCAAGGGGCCAGACCACCTTTGGCCTCTTTATAGGAATTTTAGCTCCTTGGTGACCCTATGGCATGAGTGAACTCATACCAGAGTTACAGAAGGCAGCTCCAGATTGCATACCAAAAATGCTTCCACAAAGTTTCTAAAGTACGAGTAAAAAGTTGCGACTTTTAATTGAATTTATCTTCATATTGTTTGAATAAATTGCAAACTAGTAATGTTTTAACGGCTAAACATGTATGTTTTAGCCCATAACTTTGGCTATTACATCAAAGGAGTCAATTATAACTTTACTCTCAACCTTCCAAGAGTGCACCCCAGCAAACAATGCTCTCTTGTTTGTCAATTCTTGGGCACTCAGACAGCAACAAACCTGCTCAACACAATTTTTTTTTATCTTTGCCTACCAGGAGACTGAGATTCTCTCTCATGGGAATTAGTACCCAGCATGCATTGCAAAAAGGCCAGCCACCCTTTGTGGCGGTTAAAAGCTCGTTTTACGCCTGTTAGTCCATCTTCTTGGCCGATAGGGAGCCACCGATGGACACTGATGACTGTGTAATCGACCATAATTGTCTTTTCAGTTTTGATTTGTGTCATCATCTGACAACCATACATCCTTCCTCGTGTCTGGTACTTTCTGCCAGTCTGGTGACTGACGTTTGCCACATTTCAAATTCATCAGACTGTCTGTCAGAGTAAACAAAAATGAAAAGCTACCTAGTTCTTTACCCTAACAAGGTTTCATCAATGACAAGATAATCACACCCCCCGCTGTAGGTCATACAGAGATGTGTGTGTGTGTTATTATTTATCCATATGGTGTGTTTCATGAAGAACCCTTTGCCATCTGTTTCCTAACGGATTCGAACTAGACTGGTGTGGCAATTTTTCGCGCAACTTTGAAGTACAGAAATACATTTGTGAATGTATGTGTGTGAATGTTTCAACATGTCCTTTGGTACATGTACCAAAGGTACGAGGTGCACAGACTGACCTGTGGCGAGAGGCTGTTGCTGATGCCGGGGTTAACGGTGCCGGTGTGTCCAGCTGGGCTCACAAAGCTGTCTGAGTATCCTGAGAAGTTGTGTCGCCCCGAGGAGAGGCAGTACGCCGAGCCTCCGTCCTGGGAAGTTGCAGACGAGCTGATCCCAGCCTGGTGCGCGGAGGTTGGTGGCAACGGCTGCGGTCGATGGACGGTGCCAGGCTGCTCTGAGGTGGCTGAGAAGAGAACGCTCCTCGTGAATTCTAATGTTGCTTATGAAAAAATGTGATTTCAGTTTCATCTTTAAAGACATCGGAGTAAATATTTGTTTATGCTGTGTTTTCACCTTGGGCGATAGAAGTCGGAGGGTAAGGGCTGTCTGACAGCTGATAAGGCTGCAGGCCCGGCATAGCTGACGGGGGAAAACCACCAGGTATGAGGTGGTTAAAGGCCATCAGCTGATTGGCTCCAGCCTGCTTCCTCCACCGAGCTCTTCTGTTACTGAACCACACCTGGGAAGAAGAGCGGAGAGTTTCCTGAGTCTAGCTACCCTCGCGCAGTAATTACATGCTCTTTTTCATTCGTGAGTGTGCTTTGTTCCAGGTCAGTGACATTATATGTGTTGGAGGCCTCTCTGTCCCATAAAAGGAGAGCTAAACTGATAGAGATCTGAGCATCTGCGCTGAAACCACATCTCTGGGTAACACTGCAGGGCTGCTATGGCTGTTAGGCAGCTATCTAAATTGAGCATCTACTTGCAGATTTTAACATAGCTCTTTCTGGCACAAAAATATGTTAGCAAAAATAGAAAACTGGTTTCATACCAAAGGCCTGCAATATTAGTTTTTTTCTGAATATGCAGCAAAGGGGCAGGGGTGAGTGTCGGGGGGTGGGGAGTGAAGGGAAACACATGTCTAATGACAGTAAAGAATGCGTGGCAATACCCCGAGATAATTTAACACCCACGTGACGCGAATTCACGACAGAGTGACACATCTCTTCTCTGTCAAATCTTCGGAAACTTGGTGAGTACAGACGTGTGTTCGAACCTGAACTCGAGCCTCAGTCAGTTTGGCCCTCTGAGCCAGCTCCTCTCGTGTGTAGATGTCGGGGTAGTGCGTCCGCTCGAAGGCCCTCTCCAGCTCCTCCAGCTGCTCGGCTGTGAAGGTGGTCCGACTACGGCGCTGCTTCCTCTTTAAGGGCAGACCCGGCTCGGAGTCCACGTCGGAGCCCTCATCCGAGTGACTGGCTGGGATTGCAAAATAAGCACACACTCATTTGGAATCGGGCCAACAGAGGGTGCATTTTTAATACAATAGCCTTGATTCAAGACAAGGGCTTATGGTGTGGTGCCACTATAAGGTTGTGTCTCCCAACTCCCTGGTTCCTGAGGGGATCAAAAGCCAGGGAGTGCTTGAACACAGATTAAAGAGGACTATAGCCCTCTGGGGCATCGATCGCCTGGTGTCTCCTGATCTTACGCATGCTGTGTGCTACACTGATAGCATCCTTTTTTTTCTTTTTTCTTTTTTTTGAAGAAAATAAAACACTGATAGCATCCTATAGTGGAAGAAAGGCAGCTTTTTGCAGGTGCTTCTTGATTTGTTCAGTTTAAACATCAAGACAAAGCGGTGGTGACAAATCCACCCCAAAGAGACACCTCAGGAAGAAAGCTCACATGGCCTTTTTGACTCACAAATTACGTATGCCGTAAACATGCTCAGAGTGAAGAAATAGGTGGCAGAGCAGGTGTAAGTAAGAAAAAAAGTTTCAATATGAAGCTAGCCTCTTTGTACCGGATCTCTCTCTCTCTCTCTCTCTCTCTCTCTCTCTCTCTCTCTCTCTCTCTGCCCTCCAGATTTAAAGCTTTAATTAAAAAAGTGCCAAGTCAGACATTTAGAATGGGAGGGTTTGGGGGATCTCCCCTTGCCTCTGGAGCCTCTGGAAGCAAGCAGGAAATGTTTGCGCCGGTTGCCAGTGTGTGTCTGACCAGGCATTACACACGGATTTGGCCTCTGGGAATGCTGCAGCTCAAAGGGCCGCTGGCAAACAAGATTCTCATGCTAAGACAAGCTCTTTATTACATTTGAAACAGGGGCGCCACGCTGGCATACAGACGCTCTGGGACGGTCCGTGTGAGCTTCGGATGTGGTTTGTTTATGTAAGAATCTGAGACCAATTGGAGCAATTTTTATAGTTCAACAGGTGCAAACGAAAGCCATGCAACCATACCAAGATGTTAAAACTTGAGCAAAAAACTCTAAACGACAGAGCATCACTAACTATTACTAGAGTTTTACAAGTGAACTCATTTGTTGTTTCTTTTATTTTCCTTTGGGTTTTTCTAATAACTCTAATGAAAACTTTCATCACAAACTATCATTTACTGGCAAATGATAGTGTTGTTGTTTTTTCATCCTGTAGCTTGGTCTTTGTCTTTTTCCATCTTCCTCTCCCACTTTTTTTTTGGAAGTGATGTGGCCAAGCTTTTGTTTCTTTGCAGGGGAAAGCCTGTGGCAGGGCTCTATTGGACCGATTACCACGCTCCATCTGTAGGAGCCATCAGGGACGCCCGAGGTCGCATTCAGGGGCCTGTCACCTGCCCAGCAGGGGAGTCGGGAGAGAAGGGAGAGACTGAAGGGTAGGATGGGGGGCTGTAGAGGCAGGGGGCTGAGTAGGGGAATGAGGAGTGGGAGGGAAATGGGGCACAAAAGGGTCCAGAGAAGGGCCACTGGAGCTGTGGAGGGACACAGCAGGGGAGCGCCCCTTCATCCCCTCCTTCCATGGCCTGAGGGGCACAAAGCTGGGGGATGGGGAAAGAGGGTGGGGAGAGCCAAGAGTTGACATGGAGGGGAGATGGGAAGGCACCTGAAGAAGATGCTGTAGAAGGGGGAGGAAAGTGAGGGGAAGGAGTGTGCGAGATTTTCTTTCACAGGGACCTGTTCTTTCCGTCAAACTCTCTCTCTCTTCAATTGTGTCTTTCTTTAGACTCACTCATCGCTGTGTGCACATCTTTAACACTTTCAGACACTGTTCTTACACTGCCCCTGGACTGATCTGAGCTGATGCAGGAGTGTAGGCTAGTTCCCACACATTCCTCACAATAAATGACAGAAGAGGACACTGGGCACACAAAGGGGTGTCTCGCCCTTCTTACATAAACACACAAATCAAATTTTACGCTGCAGATAACGCAATAGGGAGCTAAAAACATTGCCCAGTTTGGCTGTGATTCTGACAAAAAATATCAAATTATTATTCTCCAGGTGAGGCCTGCTTAAGTATTATTCTCAAAATAATATATGTTTGCTCATAAAACAAGTTTGAACATAATGGATGAACTATTAGGCACAGCTTGGAGTATTCAAGTAAATTCAACAGGTTTTTCACCTATAAATTAAATAAAATGCATTCACTCATAAAAAGTATACTCTTGACATCAGCATAGATGATCATTCAGAGTTACCATTCATGTGCAGAGGTATTTATTGATGGATTGCTCGTTGCCGACAGGAAATAAAAGGGGAAAACTCCAGGAGGTCTCAGATGTGAGCCTGGCAGACATCCACTATCAGATTAGCTTCACATGTAGCAGGAGTGCCTCTAACAAACCATAAGCAGAGGATAACGATTGGTCTAGTTTAGCACGTAGACTTCTACAAAACTGAGCTCATTCTGGCTTGCATCTATTTCCTATCCTTCCATAGATACCAACAAAAAATAGGGTATGTGCCACCGACATAAAACTATGCTCATAAATGCACATAGTTTGAGAAAATAAAGGAAAACTGCGACTAAGTACACAGGAAAATAAAAGCAACAAAAAGCGAAATTAAAACAAAGGGGTAAATTAAAGAAAAACAACAAAATCCAAGCATGTGGGTCAGTTTATGGCCTTTTTTAGGTGGGGGTGGCTAGCCCGTCCTCCAACCACTGTTAATAGGGAAGGTAATGGAGCTGGTGACATGTGTTCGCAACACGAAACAAAGACCATAAGAGACAAATGAACTAGCTATTTGCCCAGGGAAGTAGATCTGCTCCTTTCAGGCCATGGAGCGCAGCGCAAGCAAGCCTCTGAATAAAATAGCTGAATGCCACATAGAGAGCCCGAGTGAGCAGATGCTTTGGGGGGAAAAGAATGGTTAACTGACAGCTTATGGACTCAGCTGGGGTTAACAGTTTTCGGGGTGTGAGTGGGCTGCTCACTTGACTTGCTAAAGAGCCCCCAGGAACCTGCAGCTGCCTGGGAAAAAGGAGGAGGATGAGGAGGGGTGGTGTGTGTCTGTACGTGTGTGTGTGGGGTGGGGGGGGGTGGGGGGAAATAATAAAAAGAGTGTGAGATGATGATGATGTGAAAGAGAAAATAAAACACTGAGTAGAAGAGCACAGGAGGTTGGCACTTGACGGACAAAGGAATGGCCGGCGATACGGAGTTGAAAGATGTATCTGTGTCTAACGCCGGTGTGGTGACAAGAAGCCACAAATGGCCCTGCGTGGCTTTTATCTGTGCCCAGTGTGGGATGGTTATTATTTCGTTCCACCGTGGTGCAGTTAGGTGACAGTTTCACGGTGGCATTTCCACCCTCGGGCTTTAGACAAAGCAGCTCCACAGAACCCACACGGGGCCACAGCGAAAGGCCAGGCTGCTGCACGTTCCACTCAAACAGAGGGCTAACTAGCAAAGATCCATATTAGCCCGGCCTTATTTAGGTGAGACCAACAAACAAACCAAGCATTTCATTTAAAAACGCACATATTAATTGCAAAACGTTTTATTTTATATTATTTTTATTTTTCTGTTTCAGTTTTCCTTCTTATTTTTATTACTGTTGGATGTTGTTTTGTTTTTATTATCTGGAGGACTACAGATGTAAATTAGCCTTAGGCTAAATCTGGTGCAATGCATCAAATGTTTTTATGCTTATGTTTTAATAGTACATTGTCCTAACAAATAAATCCATTCATTCATTCATTCATTCATTCATTCATTCATTCACACACAGCACGATGGGTGGAGAAAAAAAACAAAATGGTACAATAGGTAAGTTTGTGATGAATGAAAATCCAGTAAGCAATTCTGATTCCTTGGTGGGATATCCTTTTATTGGCTGACACATTTTCCCAAACATTATCGTAACCTCCCTTTCCTGGGGCCTAATAGTTGTAACAGTCAAGTGACCCTAAGTTGGCCCCTGACCTTTTCACAGCGACTGCACAGCACTGCAGTGAAAACAGCCTTGCTACCACCGCTGCTCAAAGAAAACCTCGTTCTGTTTCCATCCTGCCAACAATTATGGCTCATTTTCTAAGCTAAAATGCAGGTAACAAACAGAGCAAACTAATGCACAAGTGCAATTCTTTTTTTGTTTTCCAGGAGGAAAAAGGTAATTCATCAGTCAGTAACAGAGTAGTGCTGGCATGTCCATAATGTGCAATGTGCTGAGCGAAAACAGCTCCACAAAAACTGAGGCTAAACAAAGTTAAGTGATTGACAACGCTGTCTGCCTTTACTCAATTAACCATCCCATTGTGCTCCTCTTTGCAAAGTCCCCTCGCCCCCGACCCTTTTCTCCTCACGTCTCTTTATCCTCCCCATCACAGAGTTTTGCTTGGCTAATACTTCCAAGGAAATAGAGAGCTCCTTTTTCTTCTGTTGGGGCTCCTCTTCTTGACCTTCTATTGCTCACTGCCTCGCTTTCAGCCACTTCACAGTGTCTCTGGGGTTAGTGGGGAGAATGCGGAGAGTACATCATCGCCGAGGGGCCGGGCTCGGGGCAGGACCCCAGCCCGTTACTTCAAAGTTGCCCTGCATTCATTAATTGTCCTTTGAATTAATATTGCGGGGATCACAATGCTGGTGCCAACGGAGAAAGAGGCTTTAATGAAGCATAGAGTCTGCATTCAGTTGCAGATCAGTTAGTGTGGATTTTTTCCTTTCTTATTTGAAGAAAGAGAGTCTTGAGAATCAGAAAAAATGTCTATCTACCCATTTACCCATCCACAACTTATCTATTAATCTATCTATCTGTCTATCTACCGATTTATCTACCCATCTATCTATGCATCTATCTACCAGTATCCATCTATCTGCCCCTCTATCTGTCTATCTACCCATCTATATCCACCCAGAGTTTCTGAAGTTCCATATTGCCGTTTGTTTTCCCCCCAGCAGGATAAACAAGCACTATAAGCTCTATTAATACACGAAAATGAAGAATGAGGCCCTCATATAAACTCTTCCACAATCCAGCCCTCAGAGGAAAATAGAAATGTGGCAGAAGCAGACATTCCTCTGGTTGCTTTCGAGCCTTCACTCTTGTTTAAACCTCCAATCACAGGATCTAACAGAAAAAGAAAATATCCACGTCCATCTTTCTGTTTACAGTTATGCGTCACTGCCATGTTTGCTCTGTGTGCGTGAAAGGGTTGTATCTGCTTATTTCAATGCCTCCCTATAAGTTACACAATGTGAAGGTCGGCTTAAGATGGGATAAACGGGGAGATTTGAGCAAATATGATTCACGTTTTGACTGCCTGTTTGCTGAAACACAAATTTGGTCTGTTTGCTCTCTCTCTCTCTCTCTCTCTCTCTCTCTCTCTCTCTCTCTCTCTCTCTCTCTCTC